CAGGCAGCTTACAAAATCACAGCTCTACCCAATTAGATCAAAGAGGCAGGCAGGCCCTTATGCTGCATGCTTTTGTGCCCCTGCAGCTGAATAGCCTTTACAAAGGCTACAGACATGCTTCAATTCAATCGAATTGTTGGAAAGCCTGAAGAAGCTGGCACCATAGATCTTAGATAGAAACCAGTTGAGTGCCCTCCATGCTAAACAAGGGGAAATTTCTCAACAACTTCTCTGTATGATCTCTGAAAAAGAAAAATTAAGTTACAGCATAAGAGGCTGTGTCTTCCTTTGATAAAGTATAACTAATAAAATATTAAGTGCCATAACCCAGAATTTTGACAGTTAAAAGTCAGACTACTTTCATAAAAGTATGCATTCCCCACTTACAGTTGAGAAGTTTTTGGACAAAGAATAATTCACAAAATAGTCCTTTCCCAATACTATTTTGAGCAGGAACCTCCAATGAATCATAAAAGTTGCTGCATAGTCATTTAGCTTTATTTACAAAATTGCACATGACATTGTCAAGTGAATTTTCATAGATACTTTCTGAAAGAATATTTATATAAGAACACTGCATTAAAAAAAAAAAAAGGTGCTGCTTAGAGGCATAGCTGCAACACATTCCTTCTGGCCGGGGAGGTAACAAAGTGAGAGAAGCAAGCAGGTGGAGAACAGCAGAGCAAGTTGGGGAATGAAACTAAATGGAGTGAGCCCCATTTACAGAGCTGGATACTGCTCAGCTCCAGCTAACTGCTGGCTCAGGCTTCTGCCTGAGAACCCAAAAATCCAGTTAGACCAGCTAAAAGAATTCCCAGGTAATAATCAAAGTGAACCATGATGGTGGGTTCAGCTAACTAGTTGAGGTGGGGGTAATGAATCTCAGCGGCCAGATCTCAGCGTCTATTGAAGAACAAGCTAACAAATCTCAATTCATGCACCATTTGTGACAACAGTTTGAAATGCAGTGAAAAGATGCTGACTGTCTCTTAAAGAACTCAAACCTCTCTAGTCCTGGTAATAAATGAAATACGATGTTAGCTTCAATTACAAGAAAAAAACAAAACACTTAATGTCTTCCAGAATCTGGCTCCAAATTTCCTCTCATCACTTATTTATAAATGTCCTCTCCCCCAACTCCACGTCCATTCTAGCAAATGACATTTGTCTCCTGAACACACTGTGCATAATCTGGGATCATACTCTTCAGCAGGCTCTCAGTTCTTCTTTTGTGTGAATTGTCCTCCACTTACCAAGTCCCACTATTCGCTCAAGTCTATGAGGACTTCCTTAGCAGCCCAAGTGATCTCATCTCTTCTTTAAGTCTGTAATGTGTTTTAGTTAAAGAAACAGGGATAGATAGTGAGGGAACTGTGCATCTGTTCCCAGTCCTGTCTCTTTGGAAAGAAAGTGCTTACTTGCAGCAATATATTTCTTACATCCTCTTAAATCTCTCTTCTAACTCAAAGACTCAAGTATAATAAATCTGAAAACAAAATTACTATCTTGGAAGCAGACACAGGAAGAACTCTGGTAGCTGTGCATATTGAATAGTACAGTTTTTCTAGTGACTTCTGAGAAAAGCAGATAACCAGAGACAGAGGCAGGAGGATGATAAACTGCAATAGCGCAGAGGTGCACCTGTGAGTGCTGAGTAGATTTTGGAATATGAACTAGGAAGGGTGCATCGAATCAACCTGTTCTTTGTAAATCTGAGGGAAAGATTTAATCACCACTCTTGAACAGGAGCAAGACCATGGACTGTTTATTCACTCTCTACTCTAGCAATATGAGTTTTAACAAACCTTACAGTATTCAATGGCAAAAAGAGAGTAGCCATGGTACATAAAGGCAAAATTACTGCATAGTAAAGTTAAAAAAAATACAGCATTTGGAGATTCAAACAGCATATGTCTTAAAAATAGCTACTGAGTGATCTGGAAGAAGAGTTAAGGAAATTATTCAGTGTATGTATGTGTATAGTATAGATACAGAGATATTGTGCATCATTTTGTGTCCAACTTTTTTAATGTAATTCTTTTCATGAATATTTAACCTTAAATATTCTTGGGAAAACATAATTTTTACTTGCCACATAATTTCGCACATGAGGATGTTCCAGAATGTATTTACCATTCACTTTGTTTAACCATGATGTTATTTCAGCTTTTCACTATAGCATATTTGTTTGTTGAATGTCATTTTTTTCACTGTTAGGAAGACTAGTCAATGTGGAATTACTGAGTCAAAGGAGAAAATTATTTAATAAATAGTGGTGGAAAAATGACAACATTTGAAAAAACAATTTGACATGTATTACAGATGGAATATGATATAAAGATAGAAGAGAAAGAAAGAAAGAAAGAAAGAAAGAAAGAAAGAAAGAAAGAAAGAAAGAAAGAAAGAAAGAAAGAAAGAAAGAAAACATCTGACATTTGATCCTTGAGTGCAACTGTAAAAGTGGTGGTGCTTCAAAGACAAGGGAAGGTGAACCACACCTCAACCAGAGATCTAGGAGCAAGAGGACTGGTGCAGGCCAGGAGACAAGGCGAGGACTGACTGCTATCCTGAGATACATTCTTCTACACAGATACCACCATGGGACCAGGAGACATTTTGAGAGCTCAGAAATTCCTGAAAAGGACTGAAATCTTAAACTGACCTGAAAAGGACTGTTTAAGATGATAGAGGCTAAGTTAATTTCAATAAGTAGGTTTAAGCTCTTTCTGTACTCTTGGTAGAAGTGGAGCTTGAAAGAAGTAAGAACTCAGCCAAAAAAATGAGGAAAGCTACATTTCAGTACCCATATAATTTTTGACCTGTAATATCATACACACTATTGTCAGCTTTTTATTTCTTCCACTTTTTTAAACAATTGACAAATAAAAATTACACACAATGGTATGATGATGTTTTGATATACATAGACACTGTGAGATAATCATCTACAGTTAACTTTTTAAGTCCTTCAAAATATATGCTTCTCTAAACTACTACCCAAAATGACTAAGAAAAAGAAAAAACAAGACAGTATCAAGTGCTGATAGGATGTGGGAGTAACTGGTATTCTCTTTCTGCTGGTGAGAGTGCTAATTAGTAAAATCACTGGGGAAAACTGCTTATCAGTGTCTTCTGAAGTTTGACATATGTAATCCTTATGACTCAGCAATTCCACTTCTATGTGTGTGTATATATATATATGGAAATGTTTACCAAGTAGCATACATAAGAATGTTCACAGCTGTGCTATTTGCAACTGCCAAGAAGAAGGAAAAACAAATATCCATCTATAATAAAATGGGTAGACTGTGGTATATATTTGCATGACAGAAAACTGCAGAGTAATGAGAGTGAATCCACCACAACTACACGCAGCAACGTGAATGAGTTCCACAGACATGATGCTGATCAAAAGAAGGCATCACAGCACAGTACAAGCTGTAGTAATCCATTCCTGAAACACAACCGGCTGAACTATCACAGTAAAGTCAGGATAGTGGTTAACTTTGGGAGGGGCGGCACCTGGAAGGGGGCCCAAGGGAGCTTCTGAGAGTCTAGTAACATCTGTTTCTTGATCTAGGGGCTTGTT